AATTAAACTAACCAGAAGTATGCACTCACTCTAAATATCTAACTACAATTTAAAATAAAGAGTCATAAAATGATAGTAATTGGCAGAATAACCACCACTAGCCCTCACCTCATCCATTCTCCTCCAGCTCTCAAAATAAAACAAATAAAACTTTAACTTTGATTGTGGCAATAATACATTAGCTATTTAAAATCACAGATGGAGAATGGAAATGGCAAGGGCAAACCGACATGGACTCTGGTCATCAAAGTTTTACAAGGTTATTGGAGTTTCTTGACCTTGGGCTATTCAAAGCTGCAGCCCAGAATAAAGGGAGCAAATTATATCATATATAACATACATATTATATAATATAAAACATATATACACATATATAATATGAATAACTCACTTATGCTTCAATATGTGTAGAGGAAAGTATAACAAAGGAAGAAATGGAGCAAGAATATTAGCAAGCAGGAGAAAAATTTGCACTGTAATCTTCCTTGCTTTCCAAAATACTTTATAACATATACTTTGGAACCAATATTTTATCTTCAAATTATGGGTTCTCAGAGTTAAAGAGATTGTGGCAATGAGAGAGTCATTCATTCTGCTTCCTTTGGCAAGAAAAATATTTTAAAATATGTGCTTTGGTTGTAAAGGCAAAACTAAGAAGACAAGTAAATTTGGGCACTAAATGAAAATAAATAAATAAATCTAAGAGTGAACGCCACTGCTGTCACTTCAAATACCGAGTGCACCAAAGCACATGTAAATACGTCCTTTATTCACATATCGTCAGTGAACAGACTGTCTTGCTCCCAGTGGCACTAGGGGGGAAAAAAATCACTTAATTTTAGTTTCATTAATTGTATTAAAATGATATGCCAAAATCTTTAGAAAGATTTGGCTCTCTGCTAATGATGAACAAAACATTTTACAGAGTTGCCAAATCATTGCTAAAAAACACTGTTGGATGTGATGGGAGTGGGAAGATGAGCATATTTATCATGCGCTATGATATCTTTTATCACAAAGCACTTCCTTGAGTTTATTAGACACAAATTCTTCACAGAAACCCAACTAGTTATGAGCAAGCTACAGCAAAAAAAAAAAAAAAAGGAATTTTTAGGCTTTAAAAATGTGCGTACTGAAAAAGAAAAGTGTGAAATGATCCATATTCATAGATTTTTCTGAAGCAGATACAGAACATGCAGATACAAACTCACACAGGAGCCAGGTATGGCCCCAAGATATTCCTATATCTCTCCCTTTCTCCCTCTCTCCAACCCAACACTCAAACACAAAAAGAGCAACTTTAATTTCTTTTCTAAAATTATGCAAAACACTACCAATGGAAAATTACCTTTGGAAGTCTTGACTTTTCAAAGTTTATGAATGAGGGAAGTTATTTCTCTTAACTACATAGCTGACATTTTTCCACTCTCATTTCAATTCAAAACAGTGTTTATTCTTCTCCCAACTTCCTCACTCCTTTCTCTCACACTTTTCTAAGTCACCTTCAGACTAGTTCAAAGTTTTGGTCCAAAAAAGATACCAAAAGCTAATTTCTTAGACCTCCCCAACTGTCTGGTGGGTAATGTTACTCACATTTCACATTCCTTTATTTAGCATAAGAAATGTAACATTAAAGTTTATTCTCTTTATTTTTTTCCCATGTATATACATTTATTTCTTTAAGGACAAATGCATTATTTTAAAACACTGTTTGCTTTGGGATTCTTATATATGTTTTCTTTCTGTGAATAATCTTTAAACCTAATTTGCATTTTCAAAGATGTTAAGCCATATTTAAATATGAACTAATTGAATATGAATTAAATTAAATTCGAATTAAATATGAATAAGCCAGCACGTGGCATCAATAACTCCAAAATGACTGCAAGGCTGGTGTAGGCAACAATTTTCTAACGAGCAGTTGTTCCTGATTCACATCTGCTGGGCAGACTTCTTCAGCATCATTTAAAAAGTCTTTTTTTTTTTTTCCCCCATACAGTAGAATAACGGCTAGAAGTCCAGGTGTTAACATTCTACGGATGTTAACCCTAAGAAGCTGATGAAAAAGCCTCCAAGAGACCATCTCCTTTTTTAATGAGAAAGAAGAGGATGGGAGTTCCTGTCTCTGAGGCACAGCTGGGAAAGTAACAACTCTGCAGTGAGTGACCCCACGGTATTTTATCTCACCAATGCCAGTTCTGAAGGACGAAGTACAAGCCCTGACTCCCAGGCTCCAGATGCTCTCTCGGAGAAAGCATCTCTCCAGGTGCGCCATAGGTGTCTAAACCCCTCCACCCCGCGCTCCCACAGAACACAAGTATATGTCGCACATCTCCACTTCTAAACCACCCCCAAAGAAACGCACCGAGGACCCTGGGCCGGCTCTGCCCCGCAGAGAGACATCCTAGGAGTCCTGGTGCCTTCCCGGGCTGATGCACAGAGATGCGCGGTCCCCGAACCCGGGCGGACCAGCGCTCCACTCTGTCCGGGCAGAGGAGCTCTGGGGAAGCCTGCGAGACCGCCGGGGGGAAGGCAGCGCTTAGTTTAGCTGGATGTTAAGAGATAAAAGAAGAACTTGAAAAGTTCCCCCCAACACTGCACACACAAACCAGCCGGCTGCCAGGCGCCCGCGACGGTCCCGGAGGCGGCTGGAGCGCAGAGTGGCGGGGGTCGCCTTCGCCCCGCGACGCCCGCAAACTCGTGCGGAAGGGAGCGGAGCAAAAGCACTCACCTCCACCCATCTCTGGGCCTCGGCAAACGCTACGGCGCAGTCGGCCTCGGCCTCCTCCATCGCTTCCAAGACTAGGGCAAGAGAGGGAGAAAACGAGGCGGTGGGCGCGCGGCGGGGCGGGGGTCTCGCGCGCCTCTCGGCAGCCGCCTGGGCTCTGCTCCGGCTGCAGGCGCCGGGTTCTCCTTCCTTTGTTGCGCTCTGCAGCTCGGTAAGGTTCCGAACCCACAAGAATTTGAAAACGCGGCTTTCTCTAAACTGTAAACGACCAAAGGTCCGCGGAGTTACGGGCAGCGGGGCAGGGCGACCAGAGGCGGCGCGCAGGACTGACAACTGTTTCGACTTCAAAAGTCGCAGCGCCGCCGCCGCCCTCCCAGGACGGCCCCGCCCCGGCCCACCCCGGGCCGCCGAGTCGCCGCTTCCGTCCGCGCCCCTGCGACTCCCCCGGGCTCCTCGGCCGCAGCCGCCTTTGTGGTCAGACTGTCTGGGCCAGGGGATGCCACCGTCCACCAGAGGCCCGGGCCTTGCTCCCTATCCCGCGCTGCGCGCCCGGACCGCAGCTCCGCCCGGGGGGATGCGCCCCCGCGCCCGCATCCTTCCCGCCCGCGCTCGCCTGGCTACCTTCCACACCCCGGGCCCCGGGAAGCGGCGCGCCCGCGGCTCAAGGCCTTCGGGCCCGCCTGACATACCAGGAATAGCTGCACACAATTGTACCTTTCCGGGCCAAGAAACTTCCCCCGCGGGGCAGCGCAGCGCAGCGCAGCCCCGCCTGGCCCGCCGCCCTCACCTGCGGCTGGGCCCGCGACGCACGGCTCTTGCTTCCGACGAACCCGTTGTCCCGCGGAGTGCGAACCACGCTGCCAGGTGCGCGGCCGTCCCCCGGCCACCCAAGCTCTCTGCCCCCTGCGGCCGCCTGGGCCCTCCTGGCGGCAGGTGAGGGTAGTGGCCGGGGCACGTGCCGCCCATTTTCCTCCGCCTGGACCAACCCCGCTCTGCTCTGCTTCCTGGTGGGTGAGGTGGAAGGTACCTGCCACTCGAGCCCCGTCTCTCTGCAAAGGGTTCGAGCGGAAGGGAACCCTGATTTTCTCCTACCTCTCGCCCGCTCGGCTCAGTTCAGGCCATTTGACCGCCCTTCTCCCTGAGCGTCAAACCCTCCAACCTTCGTGGTTTGGGTACACTCAGTGGGCGACGAGGCAACAGTATCCGCAGCATCACTGGGTGCGCAAGGCTGGAGGGTCGTAGGCTCTTGGGTTGGCTTATTTGAGTTCTTTTCACACACAAATTAGATCTCAAAGGAACCTGGTCATCTGCCTTGGCTACCTAGGGACCTCGCTCTGATGCTCCTTAAGCCGTGTTCAGGCCACACGCTGATGGCCACACGCTGATGGCCGCACCTTTGGAGGAAGATAAGAATGGCTTCTTACTCCTTCAGAGAAAGCAATTCTCATTCCTTTTTTTTTCTTTCCCCTGATTGTTTATTCTTTCTGATGAAAACTACATCATATATTTAACAGTATTTACATTTTACCTTATTTACTTCACCTTTTCTGCTGAAGTTCTAAAGTAAAAATAAATGTTGTGATATTTCACTTCTAAATATTACAGGGGGATCAACTTACGAAGTGATCCCCCTGATTATTTTAAAAAGGACACTGTCTACATAACCATATTACCATTTTCACAGTTAACTAAAGCTAACAATAATTACCTAGTATCAATTTATACCCAATGCAGACTCAAATTCTCCTCAACTGATCTTTTACAGTTGGCTTACGCAGACCAGAGTCCAAACGATGACCACACATTGCATTCGGTTACATATTTTTTTAAACTAGAATAGCCTCCTCCATCTCCCTGCCTCCTATTTTCAGAATGACATTGTCTTGTTAAAGAAACCAGGGGAGCCTCCTGGATTTGTCTTATGGCTTCCTTGAGATATCTTCAACAATAATTCTCTTTCTTCTGTATTTCTTGTTACCTAAAAGTTAGATCTAAAGATTAGAACTCATTTACTTTTCTGAATAAAGACTTCACCTACTTTTTCCCCATTGGTGTGACTTCTAGAGGATGTTTAATTTTTTTCTGGAGTCTGCCTCTTTTAAAATATACATACATTTTAATTACAGTTGACATTCAATATTATATTAATTTGAGTCTACGGTATAGTAGGTAGACATTCATACAACTTACGAAGTGATCCCCCTGATTAGTACCCACCTGATACCATACACAGTTATTACCACATCACTGACTATATTCCCTGTGCTGTACTTTACATGCCTGTGGCTATTTTGTAACTGCCAGTTTGTACTTCTTAATCCCTTCACCATCACCCCTTCACATCTGGCAACCATCAGTTTGTTCTCTGTATCTATGAGTTTGTTTCTTTTTTGTTTGTTTATTTTGTTTTTTGCATTCCACATATAAGTGAAATCATATGATACTTGTCTTTTCTCTGACTTATTTCACTTAGCGTAATACCCTCTAAGTTCATCCATGTTGTCACGAATGGTAAAATTTCTTTTTTTTTTTTTTCGTGGCCAAGTAATAGTTCATCGTTTATATGTACCACATCTTCTTTATCTAATTATCTATCAATGAACACTTAGGCTGCCTCCATATGTTGGCTATTGTAAATAATGTTACAATGAATATAGGGATGCACATATATTCTCAAATTAGTGCTTTGGGTTTATTCATATAAATACCCAGAAGTGGGATTCCTGGGTCATGGTAGTTCTATTTTTAATTTTTTGAGGAACGTCCATGCTGTTTTCCATAGTGGCTGCACCAGTTGGCAATTCCACCAACAGTGCATGAGGGTTCCCTTTTCTTCACATCCTCTCCAATACTTGTTCGTTGATTTACTGATGATAGCCATTCTAACAGGTTTGAGGTGATATCTCATTGTGCTTTTAATTTGCATTTCTCTGATGATTAGGGATTTTGAGCATCTTTTCATATGTCTATTGGCCACTAGAGTATGGTTTTTATTTGTTAGTCTTATTTTCATTTAACCTTTTTTTCATTGGCACTGTCTGTAATAAATTGGTCTATTTAGAAGAGCTGAGAATTGTTCTTGCTGAAGTGGGAAGCCATTGACAGAAACATCTCTTTGTCTCCTAGCTACACTATGACCAAGTCAAACCCAAAATGAGGACAAAAGGATAAAAGAAAGTGTGAAAATATTTTTCTCTTCCTGACTATTCAAGATCTGTTCTGTTAAATATTTAGTGAGCACCTTATATATGTAAAGAGCTAAGTGTCATAAGCTATACAAAAATGAAAAAAATATTTAGACACTGAACCCTGGGCACTTCTGGTCTGCTGGAAAGACGAACATTCTTCAGTCTTCATGAGAGTTGTTGTTACTACAGTTATTATATAGTATATTATACTGTTTAAAGCTGCTGCTCTGCAACTTGACTTATAGCTTTGGGGACTGCATCCCAGGATGGTAAGAACTGCACAGGCTTGGGAATCTGAATGACTAAGGTTACCAAGTTACCAAACTCTCTGAGCTTCAGTTTCCTCATCTGAAAAATGTGGTAATGATAACTATTTCATAGCATTATGGGAATTAAATATGATGATGTATGTAAAAGCTCAGGGCATTGCTGGCATGGAGTAGACAATAAATGATGGTTATTTCCCATTAGTGTATCTCTCTCTCTCTCTCTCTCTCTCTCTCTCTCTCTCTCTCTCTCTCCCTCTCTCATAGTAAGTAATGTGTTGAGACGAAAAACAGGTTTTTTTTCTCTATTGTCTCTCTCTCTCTCTCTCTCTCTCTCTCTCTCTCTCTCTCTCTCTCTCTCTCTCCCTCTCTCATAGTAAGTAATGTGTTAAATATGGATTTTTCCTAATAAATGAGAATTTCTTTTCTTTGCTCAGATACTCACAAAGAGCTGTAAGGTCCTACAGGTTCTGTTTTAAGTTAGATCAAGCATCACCCATTTCTGTCTCTTCAGTATTGCAAACTTGCGACTCAGAAGATCCAAATCCAATTCTTTGCCTCCTAACATCAGTCATGAGAGTATTTTATCCTTCTGGAAAGATATATACAACCCTATAGAGAAAGGGAAACTGCCTTAGGCATTTACAATAAAATTCACAATGATAAAACATCAAGAGTATTATTTATTTTCTAAAAGAATTTGAGATATCTTTCAATATTTAAAAACAGTATAATTGTCATGTTCCAATCCATTAGTAATTAAATAAGCTGTTGGTAAGAGAAAGTGGTATGATTTTTCTTGAAGGTAATTTGGCAATAAATATTAAAAGTTTTCTAAATGCCCATGCTCTATTGCAGCAATTCCACTTCTGGGAATTTACACTAAGGCTCTGAGCAAAAATATACACACGAAATGAGCAGCTGTGGTGGACATGGAGATGCACTACCCAAACTCCCTTTAGAGGAGGAGCATGGTCAGCACACAACCTCCATTTGTCAGCACCTTTGAGGTCAGCCTCAGCTGCAGAGGACAGCCTCACCTGAGGTCATGCCTCTCCCAGAGCAGCAGTCATCTGGTAATTGACTGACCTGAGGTTATAAAAGCCCGGTCATTTCCACCCAACACAGGACAACTCTGATAGGGCCTTTCTGTAGACATAGCCTCTGTTAAAACTACAGATCTGTATCACAGTTCAACTTCTCTCTTTTTTTCCTGCTTCTTCCCTCTTCGATTCACTGAGGTCAATCCCTACGAAATATCTCACACTTCAAACGATCTGTTGGCTTCTGGAAGACTCACTTGTGATGGCACCAATCATAATTTGTAAAAAATGAAAATCCCAAAGCCATCTAAAACTTCAACCATAGGGATAGTGGAGTAAATTATGATTTTTCCATAGAGTAAAACCTTGTGCAGTCACTAAAAATGTAAAAGAATATTCAATGACACAGGATGATGTTTCACATATATTGCAAAATGAAACAAAAGCAATGTATAAAGCATGTTAATTTGTGGTTTTAAATGCATACTTTTTCTACATAGAACAAATTGGAAAAATCTCTACCCAAATTTTAGTGCTGTCTATTTCCAAATGGAGATTTTGTACTTCTTTCTCTTTAACAAATTTTTTTTTTGCAAGAGACATAGATATTACTTTTATAAATGGAAAAAAATATGATACAAAGTTATGTTCAAATATGACTTTCTATCTTGTCCTACAAATTTCAACCTCTTCCTGTCTTTCCTGACTTGGCAAATGGTACCACTTCCTGCTAAAATCTGGAGGTCATGCTGGACTTCCTCATCCCTCATCCCCATGTCCACCCTATTCTTAGCCTGTCCATTTACATCCTAAATATCTCCCTAACTGGCCCTTCTCCATTCCTATTTCCACTACCTT